AAACGTACGCGCCATCTCGTGGCAACTTTCATAACAAAGGTTCCTGATACCATCCTTGTGCATTCCACTGTTTCGGCGTGTATGTGAACACATTTGGGACTAACAGGGTTTACTAGAATCCCACCACTCCACCACAGAGTCACCGCAGTAGACGTTAGATGAGCGCTGTCGCTTTGCGGCACTTGTTTTATTAGCGGTAGATAATTAATGATTTTGACGTGTTTTTCAAGAAAAACACATTTTATTCATTATTATAAAATATAATATCACTATAATTGTAATTCGTAGTGTAAATGTGTTATTTTCAACTTAATATTAAAGTTAAGGGAGGGTCTAGGATCTCTTAAGTTAGAGAAAAATTCTTTTAACTTTACGAAGTTTCTGGCAACGCTTTAAGAGAAAAAGTTAATGTTAAAGTTAATGTTAAGACTAATTTTTTTCTGACAACGGGCCCCAGATGTAGCTGCATGCTAATCCTTTCATCTTCACAATTCCTGTGTGGGTTTTATGCAGCTGCTACAGCTACTGCTACAGCTACTGCTACAGCTACTGCTGCTGCAACAGCTGCTACATTGTAGTGAAATAATAGGAGTGTTCACACACAAGAAAAACCGCGATGCTAATCGCGATGGAAATACCGAGATAATTGTGTCGTTGTTCACACAGGCGGAAATATCTCGCTAATCGCCGAGCGGGATAATTCTATTAATCGAACTGCGCATGCTCACTGCCGGATGTTGATACGATCGCTTGGAATGATGGGATAGAAAATACCGCGATTATTTGCGCGAGCGTTCACACACACGCAGCGGTGCAATTAATCGCGCTAATTCCAAATAATTGCAGTCAAAAGTGCGATTTGCAGCGCGATTCGATCGCGATGCAAAAACCGAGATTTGCATCCCGCTAATTCCCGCCAGTGTGAACGCGCCTAATGAATCGTGTTCGCTGCATTAGCACACCTTTCCAACATTTCTTTATGCTTACCACTGGGAAGTGAACTCTTCCCTAGGTTTTTGTCGGTCGACCAACAACCGAGGTGCTTGTGCTAAGATGAGGTCTTTCACAGTTCATTCTGCTATCAGTTTAGCATTATGTTGATGTGAACTAATTTACTCATCACTGCAGGTTTTAATCCTCTGTGGGACGAAACATTCAAGCTGAAGATTCAAATGCCAGAGCTGGCACTGGTCAGATTTACCGTCTACGATTATGACGTGCGCTCTAAGAATGACTTTGTTGGAACATATACATTGCCATTCACGTGCATGCAAGAAGGTGAGTGCTTTACAACATGTGATGACCTGTTTACTGCAGCTGGGTATTATGGCATTGTAATCTCTTAAAGATGCATGCATTCCTTCAAAGATCATGCTGCCAAGGAATTATGAAAATGTATAATTTCAATATTGCACGTTTATGTGTTATGGGTTATGTTGTTTAATATATGTTTTTAGAGGGAAGGTTTTGGCTTAGGAAATATATCTGGTTAAATGTTAAAATAATTTCCTCTTCCACTCTGGTAAAATTGTGTATTATCAGCAATAGCCTACGCACAACTTGTGCGGGGGCAGCCTTATAGACCGAAGGTCCGATAGACCGAATATTGCAAAGGGTTAGGGTTAGGGTTAGGGCATATATATGATTTATAGTGGCATCATGATTTATTTGGTGGATGTGCGGCATATTCACGTTCGAATACGGCATCAGTGGATGTCCGGATGCGTAGCCTGGAGGCTAGGCGAGCGATTCCGGACGTGTAGCCACTGCGTATTCGAATAAACCTTCGGTCTATCGGGCCTTCAGTCTATAGGGTTGTAACCACTTGTGCTGTGCCTAGTCAAAAAGAGGTTCATGGGAATGCATCTCTTAATTATGTACATCTGTGGTAATATGACAAAATATTAGTTTATTCTGTAGCACCTAAATATTATCATTGGGGCTAACAATTCTGTTTACTAACAGCGATGTAAGAACTAAATTGTGACAAATTTCGTCCGTAAAACCTATTCTCTTCAAGTTGTTCCCACACCCTGTTGCACTTGTTGGATGTTTGTGTTTATAGATTTTCCAGTGAAAACCAATTCATCATAATAAGATATATGTATTGTACTATCATAACTGTACAGATAATTGTAATTAATATAATTTGCCATATAGATGAAATAATTGAAAGTAGTTTATTGTTGACTACTATAGTTTTGCCTCATTTTAATTATGTTCTATTGATGTTGTCCTTCTATATCCCCTTTTATTCACCAAGCTCAACAAATAATTTTCTTTCTTCTCGATGTATTGCAGATTATTTCATTCTAGAGGGCCTATCTGTTCTCCTGTAATACTAGCCAAATTATGAATGTAAACATTGTTAGACACATATATTAGAAGGTTAATTATGTAACACGTACAGTAACACGTAAAGTAAGGAATTGACGAGGAGGGAGAATAAGAATTCATGTGCTCCTGACCGATATTCTATATATCAGGTTTTTGTGGTCATGATTTACAAATTCCAATTGAGCAAATATATGCAACTCAACTTTCCATGATCTGTGATATTATTGTATCCCCCGCGACGATACTATGGTTTCATGTCTGTCCAGCCGCCGCCGCCACCGCAAACACTCCCTTCCGCTCTATAACTCGACCCCTAATTGACCTAGCGTGACCAAACATGGTCGACTTACACATCTTGGGGAGAAGGTGCGCAGCGTACCAAAACCAGGTCACTACGACCTTTATTTGACGTTTACCTTGACCTTGATCATATTTCCCTTCCGCTCTATAACTCGACCCCTAATTGACCTAGCGTGACCAAACATGGTCTACTTACACATCTTGGGGAGAAGGTGCGCAGCGTACCAAAACCAGGTCACTACGACCTTTATTTGACCTTTACTTTGACCTTGATCATATTTTCCTTCCACTCTATAACTCGGCCCCTAATTAAACTAGCGCTACCAAACTTGGTACTTACACATCTTGGGGAGAAGGTGTGCAGCATACCAAAACCAGGTCACTGCAACCAGACGTCCCAAGTCTCCCGGTCTCACCGGGAGACTCCCGGTATGACACGCGGCTTCCGGTGCCTCGGAATGAGGTCAGAAGCTCCCGGTCGTAACATTTTTCAGCCATGTGAAAATTTACATCAGTAAATCAGTAAATTACTAAATTTGCCATTGTTGTTGATGTACTTTGATCCCAGCGAACAATGAAAGGCGATAAAACGATGATTTTACATGTATACTTTATAAAAAAAAATGGTGGTGTGCCGTGACAAACACATATCGCAGCCCGCCACAACTTTTTCCCTGTTTTTGCGCACTGCGAAAAAACGGCGATGGACCTGGCTCCCTTTCTTGGATTGCTGGGCCAATGCTGGCTCCCTTTCTTGGATTGCTGGGCCAATGCTGGCTCCCTTTCTTGGATTGCTGGCTCCCTTTCTTGGACTTTCCTAACTTGGGACCTCTGCTGCAACCTTTATTTGACCTTTACCTTGACCTTGATCATATTTGCCTTCCGCTCTATAACTCGGCCCCTAATTGACCTAGCGCTACCAAACTTGGCATACTTACACATCTTAGGGAGAAGGTGTGTCGCGTACCAAAACCACGTCACTGCGGCTTTTATTTGACCTTGACCTTGATCATATTTCCTTTCCGCTCTATAACTCAGCCCCTAATTGACCTAGCGCGAGCAAACTTCGTATACTTACACATCTTGGAGAAGTGTGTCGCGTACCAAAACCCCTAAGGCAACCAATTTTAACATACTTGCACATCTCAGGCAGATGAGTTGTGTAACAAACCTTTGTCTTTGTGACTTATTTAACTTTACCTACCTTCTACGTCCTTACAGAGATATTTCGTTCATACTAGATCACGGGGGATACATGTAGTTGGCGACAACTGCCCGTTCTAGTTGAATATACACACGTAACTCTCATTTTTTATCTTTTTTAAAGTTCATTTTTGTAGATGACAATAAAAAAGATGGATATAGAGCAATTTTGATAAAGTTCTTGATATAGGAGCATGGTGTGCAATACCATGAACATATTTATACATTGTATATAATATAATCTTGACTACATGAAATAATATTTGATATTATGTACTCCTGATATGGTATCAGGATTCCCCCATGCATTTAACGCTTATGTCAGGTCTGACATGGCTTCAAAGCTGAAGATAATTTCAGCATCTTAAAAGTCATTCCTCCAACATTTCCTAATTTCAAGCTATGTGTACTTTTGACTTTCTTAACACAGTTATGCTGTGTTTTCACAGCTTGACGTATACATCTCTGAACTCATGAAATCATGTTTACCTGTGTACTGTGCCCGCTCATGACATGCGCAATGGACTCCAATTTGTACAACCATTTCCCAGACCCTCCTTCATCCGTCCATAAATGATATGCCTTCTAAAATTCCCAGGGGAGAAACCCCAATTTGTATACATTATTACATATATACGTACAATACACGTATACATATTCCTAACAATACTAATAAACTAATTTTTATATTCTTTTATTTCGTCAAGTTTACATAGCCATTAATTTAGTATTGATGCAGATGAACTGAGGAAATAGCAAGTAGGGGTTTGGTTGTGGCTGTCACTGCTACATGCACTAACATGCTAATATGTCCAATGTTTGGGTTTCTCATGCACCATGTAGGCTACTGCCATTTCCGTATCACTGACAAGCACGGAGATCCGCACATTGTGGCAACACTATTTGTGCATGTTTCTATAGAAACAGATTCCTAGTTTCTACCACGCTGCTTCTACGTAGCAAATTGGTACGTAACTGATTAAGCGGTCTCAAGAAACATTAATAACAACTAATGGTGACAGTGATTAATGATATCATGGTTAATATGCTGATTTATTCTTCATTCTTGTAATTGATGTAGTGTATGTGACAAAGAGTATTGTCTTATTATTAATGATCTAAAGCAGTTAGCAAGTCAGCTTCTTGGTTTGTTATGTGTGTTTGGGGCTGGATGGCAAGCGAATTTTACAAAGTGCCCCTACAAATCCTACAGCTTGTTGGTTTTTATTCCTTATTTCCTATTCCCTTTACTCTAGGGTATCGACATATACGTCTCCACGGTGAGGATATGGAGAGGCTGCATCATTCCTGCATGTTTGTAGAACTGCAAGTCGAATAATTCTCTAGCCAGGAGACCCTGCTCATCAGCCTGTCTTCAGCATGGGGAAACTTTTGTGTGTGTTGTACTGCAGAGACCCTTAAGCAAAAGCAATGCAGTATAAGGTCTTGTGTTTGTATTCTTACTTCGCAATGAAGCATGTAAATGCATTTCAGTTGATGCCGAATAAACATATTGACACAGCGTTAGTTGAGAAAAGTGCTGTAGGTTTGCGCAATTACATGGAGCAAGTTCAATTATAAAAGCATATACTTATACCATTTTAAAGCCATTAACCAGATTGCCTCCCATAAGTTTTGTGTTGAATGGACAGTTTCTAATATCAATATATCTACACTTGTGAGTACGGTATCTATATTTCACATTTATATGTTATTGGTATAGGAAAAGGCAGATAAAGATGCAAAAAAGATAACATAGGCTATTTTTCTTTATATGTGGGGCATAAATTCCTCTTTTATTTCTAATTTGTCATTTTATTTTTACAAAGTTAGATTTTAATTATTGACATACTGATACTATAAATGTACAGCCAGCTATAGGCTGCTGATCGTTTTTACTGTTTATTTTATGCAATCAGGATATGGATAATGTTCGCTTTATCTATCAAGGATTGAGCCTCAATTGGGATTTCTCAATTTGGGGATCTAAACATAATATATAGTGGGCATCAGTTACCATGCCAGAACAGTGATATGTGCTGTTTAAGCCTTTTAAGTGTTCATATTTCAAATTCTACCATAAACTATGACAATAATGCCTCATTTCGTTTAAGGTAATGCTGTAGTCCAGTTTTAATATGAAAAATTCTTATGATGCTAGTCTCATTTCTAATTGGTTAGTTTAGTGGTTTGTGTGTTTTGCAACCGTCTTAAGGAAGAATCGTTTTTATGGCCTTCGTGTCTATTTGGCCTTCAGGTCGTATAGCGTCATGTTAGCGATAGACATACGACGTAAGACAGATCATTTAGGTTGCCATTGAACTAGAATTCTATCTCCACAACTTACGAATCTGTGTGAAAATTGTGCATTTTTATTTGCTTTTTGTAGTTGTTAGAATAAATATCACAGTAACCAACATGAAACCAGGCATAAGCATTCATGAACTGGTTGTGGAATTTGAATAATGTAGGATTTCAGTGCCAGGTCATCCACAAAATATTAAGGAAAGGCATTGTTTAACTATGTAAGTTTTTTTATGGTTAATATGCATCTTTGTTAGAAACGTATATGCTCTATTATTATGGGGAAAAAAACATTCTATCAATAATGGGAATTTGACAATGCATGTCAAATTTAGATTTTTATGTGTAAAATGTTGATTTCTGTTCGATTTACCTTTATAATTATAGATGCGCGTGTGCCCATCGCTGATCATGGTAATGTTGCTCCGATGATTCACACACCCAGTGTTTGCTTTTAATTAATAATGCAGGAATCAAACCCAATTAAATTTAGTGTGTGGTAGGTAACCTCTACCTGTAAAGGTTGTGATGAATTTCTGTAATTAGGAATTCTGTAATTAGAATTCTGGAATTTCTGTAATTAGGAATTCCTATAATTGGATATTACTCAAATAGAATATTTTTATATACTGGGTCCTACATAGCGGACATCATTTATAGTACGTTTCACATTGAGACCGCTGTTGGTGAGGAACGTTAGTCTAGAATTTTCGAGAGTGTTATGACACTTATTGCATAAAAAATAGTATGTGCCTACATATTTCTGTTCTCAGATATTTACCTATTAAAAGTCAACAACGGGATGGTACCATACTACCGTAAGGCCATAAATATAGAACACAAAACCTTGTATTCTGTATCTATGGTATAACTGTGCGGACCCTGACGAAGTTGCACTTTTGAATTGCTGTTTTGCACGTTCTAGACTGGGTGATAATCACAAAAGTGTAATTGTTTTTTATCTACCTGCTATTTACAGGATGAATTTTCTATATAGGATATATACATGCACAGTATAACTAAAACCAGCTATAGTGAAATATAAGAAATTGCAAATGGTCATTGACAGTTTGTATAACTACACTAATTATTACTATTACATTACTGTCATTAGATTAATGTGTTTAGAAAATATTTCTAGTGAAAACTGAACCTTGAAATTTTACATGCAGTATCTGTATGAATAATCTCTATTTAAGTAACATAAAATGTGACTCAACATAAAATGTGAAACTTACAGCAGTCATGTTCATGTCAGTTATCTTCACTATTAGCAACTGTCATATATATTACAATATTAACAAGTGTACGCGGTATTAGCTTATTCGCGTATTTCTCGTAAACTATCGTAAAGTAAAATAATGGGACGTTTAGTTAAACAGTGGTAAAGTAATTTTTCTTCATCGCAAGAGATCACTCACCTATAATAGTATATCTAGTATCTAGTATACTATATCTAGTATACTATTCTATATCTATATCTAGTATATATACTAGTATACTAGTATCTCTTTGTTAAAAAATTGTCGCACGAAAATGTGGACAGTGGTGAGGTATATTGGCAGTTAAAACACTAGATGAAATGTTTTGTATTTCAATAATTTGGGGTAAAATAAGACTAATGTGATGTAATTCTATTTTTTACACTACAGTTTATTGTGGTTTATAATTGGTACACACTCAACCTTTAATACACTCGCACATACGCACGCACACGCACGCACGCACACACACGCGCACACACACACACACACACACACACACACGCACGCACGCACGCACACACAAACACCCACCCACACACACACACACACACACACACCCTCACACACCCAGGGCCGTAGTGGCCGCCACGGCAGCAGTGGCGCTATTTTGACAAAAAAAAAAGTGCAGGGAACCAAGGAGCTGACTGTTATCTGACGGACTGTCTGGTATTACTATTAATACTGATCAATTAGAGGTGTTATATCAGTGCTCTAAGATTTGACATGTGTATTTAATATGACAACGTGCCTATATAAGGTATTGTGATTTAAATTCAAACTTCAAAACATACAGATGTCCAGGGTCGTGTACAGGATTTGTACCAGGGTAGGGGGTCTAACCGTAACCCAAACTTGCAAGCACGCGAAGGGGGGGTCTGGTACCTTTGATTTTTTTTAAATTAGACCCCCTTAGATGCGTTTTCTGCGCGAGCAGGGGTGGTCCGGATTCCCTGGACCCCCCCCTCCTGTACACGCCCCTGGATCATGTACATAATGAAAGTATACACGCAGATTGAAAATAGGCTTATTTTTCATAATTATGTACAGATACTGATAGTATATACAATTTTGTAAACAATGTTTTATTAGTTATCATACTCATAATATATATTTTAGATACTTTAGTCAAAACATCAGTTTTAGCTACATTCCTTTTTTAAATTTACAAATTGACCTTTTAAAATGATCAGAATTGGTTGCTTTCAACATAGCCTGAAAATGCAGGAAATGCCAGACCCCCAGCATGGGCTTCGCGACTGCGGCGTTTCGCCGTGTCTGCCTGCACACACCATAACCGCCACTTATGCTCTTATTACTGGGTGATCCTACATTTTTCTGCAGTAGCACATTTTAGGAGGCCACTACAGCCCTGCGCACACGTCAGGGGCGGATCCAGGAATGTCTGAAGGGTGGGGGGGTCACAAGTCATTATATTTGTGTTGTAGTGGCTCGGCAAGCGAGCGCAGCCAAACCGGCTGGGTGTTCGGGTTGTAAAAATTTTGTAAATAGAAGGCTTCTGAGGATAATTCTAGTGCATACATAAGGGTTATTTTTGCAGGATTTAATCACTTTATATCAAGACGTTTTCAAAATAGATACTCTGTATGGACACTAGGCCTATACACCTTTTGAATATATTGTAAGCAAGTTGGAAGTTTTACTGAAACCAAGAAAAACTTGTGCTTTAAATGGGAAAGTAGACCATATTTGTAGAACTAGCTGGTGCCCAAACAAACCAGGACTGTGCCAGAAAAATTATGACCCCCATGACCCCCACTTGGATCCGCCACTGGCACACGTACACAGCTTATTTCTCCAAGCTCAGTGGCAGCCTTCCATGATTTTTCGCGGGTGGTGTCATATTTTAGCGATCGGTGATCGGTGCAAACGAATATTATGCGAGTATTACGCAATAACCTAATATAATATCATATATATACTATAATATATTATATGATATATATGTATATATATATATATATATATGTAATATAATTGATCGTACAGCTTTATGGACAACCAAAAAGACATGAAAACTACTCCACGCACACACACATGCGTACACATGAACGCACGCGCACACACACACACACACACACACACATACAGGCGCGTAGCCAGCTTTATATGGGGGGGGGTTCGTTTTTAAATGTTGGCAATTTGTGAGGGCGCGACCGAGCAAGGGGAGGGTGTGGGGGGGTCCCCCCTCCCACACGATGGAAATTTTGCAATTATTACACTCAAATGGAACGATCTGGTGCATACCTGAGGTGAAATTCTTTAAAATTTTCAAATGGAAATTTTTTTATTTATTTTTTTTGCTCGGGGGGGGGGTCGGGAGGGTCGTGCGAACCCCCCGAACCCCCCCCCTCTGGCTACGGGCCTGCTGACATATATATATATTCGGCCCAAAATATTTATGGAAAATGGAGAGTGTTCCATTCAAAAGTCATACCTAAATAATTATTGTCTATATTTCTACACGCGGAATTAAACTGGTATAACATTTTTTTTTTTCCCAATCGGAAGAAAAATAACCCAGATTGTGAAAACATACTCGTATGATGGTGTGGGTTCGAATGCCAACTTCTGTCAGACTGTCACCATATAACAAAGTATAACAGAACGTGCTTTATTCCCGCAACAATACAAAGTGAAAGAGATGACATGCTTATATCGTGTAAACTGACAATTTTCACTGCCATGTTTCACTGGCTGGCACATTGGGCAATAAGAAGTCCAGGATAGTGAGCCCAAGCTTATCTGTAAAATAATGAAAAATATAATCAGGTACCTCATTAAGACCAGCAGCATTATACCGTGTTATTATCTACTCTTGATTATACACAATGACATGCATGTACGGATATTTTTAAACACAACACACACTGCTGATAGAAATGGCAATTTTACTCATCAAAGAAATCTACTCGTAATTAAAACATTGAAGGAAGGGAAGCCTGTAGCAGGAGCGATAGCGTAACAAGATAGATTATCACAAGATACAGAGAAAATTTACTTGAATTGATCGCTCAGCAAACAAAATCAAATGATACCGACGAGCCGTATTCGTCTCCTACAAACGGGACATAGGATCACAAGGTAAGCTTACCCACTGCTCCTATAGATGGCGCGGCGGCTTCATTGCGCGACTTACGAGAACCCCGAGAACCAACCATCTAGCTCATTGACGAGAACCATGGAAACACGCTCAGCTGATTATGTTTCTATGGATATCATGCGCATGGATAGGGGCGAATGACTCCACAAGATGCAGAGAAAACTTACTTGAATTGATCGCTCAGCAAACAAAATCAAACGATCCGGATTCGTCTCATACAAACGGTCCATAGGAGCACAAGGTAAGGTTACCCACTCCACTGCTCCTATATAGATGACGCGGCGGCTTCATTGCGCGACTTACGACGAGGACCCGAGAACCAACCATCTAGCAGTTCTAGCTCATTGGCGAGAGCCATGGAAACACGCTCAAAGCTGACATGCGTCTAAACAGAGGAATGACGGAGGTTACACGATCACAAATCAAACGTTGAAATGATAATCACAATGGCAAACAAGCCATGATTGCCATTTCTATGAATCACGCAGGTACTTGGAATGTTTCAATAGTAAAATGATGGTAAATAACCACGAAGAGTGTTTACTACAGAGAAGTCTTAATCATGTTTCGCTCCTACTCCCTCTAGGGGAAATTTCGCCTATATTGCCGACAACTTCCTGTAAATGCCGTTCATATGCTCCTCTGCAACACATAATATGAGTACACCGCACGCCCGCCGCTGTGCACAAACAACAAGAATATATATTTAATACATTACAATAGAAGAAATAGGTCAATTATGAACAAGTCTTGTTCGACATGTTCCCAAGGTTTCGTTGGTATTATAGATATAGAATAAACATGTTTATATATCAATGTTGGTATTAACATCGGACAGAGGTTTCTTCGGTATTACATGCTGTCTCTTCTGACATAGATCACATTCGGTGACTGTGTCTTCACGCTGCTAGTTTGTTCCTAGGCGGTAGACTAAATCTCTTGCCAGCTGTTTGGTTTTGACCATTTCTTGGTGAGCTGCACGCAGTATCAATAATGTACTCTTCCCCATCTTAGTTGGAACGACTACTTTTCCACCTTTGTACAGGATTCATTAAATGACACCCAGTTGTTCCT